AGCAGATTTGCACCCACGACCTTCAGGCTGACAGATCAGCATCTATCCGTTTCACCACGGCGGATCCTGACCTACAGAGGGGGATGGAATTGGTCAGACAATCAACAGCAACTGTTGACCCAACGACCTACAGCGTTTGTGGGACTGATGATATTGATATATCTGTCGTGTTTCTATAATTAGACGCATTTCCGGACGATATTTCGGTCTGTACAAATACTGTCTTGTTAACGCGTGAACCCACTGAGGTCGATGGAATCATTCACATTCAGATTAGCTCAGTATTGAGACTTGCCTTAGATCTGGCTGGTTTAGTCTTAAGTGCCTTTAATCGCATCAGTGAACACCGGTATAAAGACGCTAGGTGTGAATGGAACCTCTGTGTAACAAGGCAGGAACGCCTGCACAAAGAAAATCCACGTGAAGGGAGCCTCAGCCCTTACATATTTTCAGGGAGAGGGCCCCAGCCTGCTTAAAAATTTTTGGGGCCCCTTAAAAATGCTTAATAATAAATACAGTAAAATCTCGTTGACACGAATTTCAAGGGGCCGACAAATCATGTTTAAACAATTCGCGCTAACTAGAAACACAAATGAATACATCCCCGCAGAAAACAAAATGTTGTTCGTGTTAACCAAGTTGTTCGTCTTAACCGAGTTCGTATTAACGAAGTTTTATTTTATTTTGTGCTAAATGACATATTCAGTAATATATGTGAAATAGTAGGAATTGGATAAACAAATTGTTGAAAGATAACTTCTGTATGTAGCCTATGTTGTGTGTGTGTGTGTATGGGGGGGGGGGGGTGGCCTTAGCTGCTTTACAATTTTTGAACAGTACCTCACAATCTGCTGTGGGGAAGGAGGAGGCGCTGAACGCCCTCATTAATCTACTAGGGGAGGAGGTTCAAGTGGCCCACACCTCTATGTTCAGGTGCCTCTGGTATGGAATTTAGTCCCACACCGTTATCTGTATGGAAGTGTGTGTGTGTGTGTGTGTGGGGGGTGGGTTGTTAAGATGCCTGAAACCATAGGTTTCAGCGCCACTCTGCATACAGGGAGAAGTGGTGGGTGGGTTGTGCTAACAGACACTGCACTATTGAATGAAGCACATGACGTCATACACGACTGCCGCTATATGAGGTCACGGTAAGCATTATAGCAGCCGTTCTTACCCGTGGGAGGACCGCAGGTGACACTTGGCTAGTGTCGCCCTTATGAGGTGCCCTAATCAATTTGCACTGCAGTGTATTCCAGGTCACTGTGGCTTGGAAGGCAATGAAATAGCGGGCAGATTGGCCAGAAGCGAAAGTGACAAGGTACAACCAAATAGTAACTTAACCCAACAAGAGACGAAAACAATCTAGTATCCAAGAAAGGTGGCTCTCCCAAGATTCGCTTCATCGCCTCTTTAGAGAGGGACAGTGTATTATATTCAGACTAAAGACTGGGCACAACAAATTTCGTCAACATATGTTCACATTTTTCGTTGTAGGAAACACGGAGACGTGTCCCTGCAACGTGGCACGCGAAAATGCTGAGCATGTGCTCCAACACTGTCAACTGTATGCTGACAACAGAGACGCAATCTGGCCTGTTCCAACAACAGTGAAGACAAAGCTGTAGCCTATGGTACACGAGAGGATATGGACTGCACGATAGCTTTCATAAAGGCTACCGGCCTTCTGATATATGTTTTCTGACAGAAGGATTGAAGAAGAAGAAGAAGAAGAAGAAGAAGAAGAAGAAGAAGAAGAAGAAGAAGAAGAAGAAGAAGAAGAAGAAGAAAGAAAGAAGAAGAAAAAGAAGAAGAAGAACAAGGTGCCATAATAATAACTTCTTTGTATATTGAACGGGGTATCTGGGATCTAAGCTGTCTGTCTGTCGTCTAGACGGAGATATTTACACCTAAGGATGGTATGGTAAATATTTAGGTGGCAGCCGAGAAAGACTGATAGATCGACCGATTACCCCACCACTGTCGGGAGGTAACGGCGTTAGTGTAGTGGCTAGATGCCAAGCTGCCCACCCAAAGATCTTTGGTTCGAACCAGTACCTATGCGGTTTTTTTTTCTTCTTCTTCAAAATTAGCTCCAAGGTCAGGTAATGAATATCACGTAATGTCCTGGGAAGTCAAGGGGGCCGGCAGGATGTTGACCATATGACCCACCGAATACTGATCGATCTATGATAATATTAAACTAGCATCATATGCCCGATGCATGAAAAGGCTCCTTTACTTTTATTTTGACTGTAACCACTGGCGTGTGATTATTGATGCTTGGACTAGGTTATCGGGCAAGGTCGCGGAAACTTACATGACTGATTGATTCACGGTTTGGTCGACTGGCTGGCTTCAAGCATCTAGGGTGTCTACGAAGTGGTCAAACCGTTTGCCTCGCGCTCTGAAGGCTGTGGGTTCGTTTCACGGGTGCGCCGTTCAGTTCATGGGTGCAGTTTTTACAGAGATCCCGGAGGATCGTCGCAAGAGCTGCAGATTTCGTGCTCTGTGTGGCACTCTCGACAGGCGGCTAGCCGTTTTGCGGAGTGAGACCGAGCCATATGGGGTCAAATCCGGTGCAATGAGATTGATCCTCTCGACTCCAGTTAAGGAACATCTTCAACCTGTTGAACTGGGGGGGGGGGGGGGGGGGCTGCGTGGTCTCGGAGCATGGTGTCCGCCTCGAATGCTAGAGGTTCTGAGTTCAATCCCCGGTAAGAGCTGGAATTTTTCACGTGGACTTGGACTTCTAGTAATTCTCCTTGGTCTCTGGGTAGTGAGATGGGACGCCCGTGTGCATTATTGTGCACGTAAAAAAATCCCCTGGCAGTTGGAAATCGAAAAAAGTAGCCTAACGGCGCTGCCCGGGCAAAATTCGGAGTTTAAAATCTACCCAAAGTTTTTCATGATCCTCGCCGGTGCTACAGAGCCTGTGCACTATACCGAGCTTCTTCGGACTCAGACTTGAGATAGAAGAAGAACGGAGCACTTATGGGTTACTACCCGCGTGCCATGATGTTGGTCCATTGTTCAAACCTCAAACCCGTTAAACTCCTTTCACCCTTTTTGGCATGCATGCTAGACTCTGTGTATAAGCGTTTGTGGTGTCTAAGCTTCTATGTTTGTGGTGTCTAAGCTTCTATGTTTGTGGTGTCTAAGCTTCTATGTTTGTGGTGTCTAAGCTTCTATGTTTGTTGTGTCTAAGCTTCTATGTTTGTGGTGTCTAAGCTTCTATGTTTGTGGTGTCTAAGCTTCTATGTTTGTGGTGTCACAACATCATTGTCTAAATAGTCTGTATGTATTTAGACACCTGCGTCTGCTGTGCCAATACGTCTGTCTACCGCGTTGACACTTCTGCCTACTGCGTCAGAATGTTGAATTAAGAATCGACTTCATAGCACTCGGGACAACCCCATAAGCGCTCAGTCCAAATCTTCAGCAGCAGGCGAAGAGTTAAAATTCCGGTGGTACCAATAACTGTCTGATTGTATATCCGTCTCGTCTTACCCTTGAGTGTCTCTCTTCTCATTATGTAGCCAAAGAACAGTGTCTCTTTCTTATTTTATATTGAGATCTACTTTCATTAGCTTTGTCCAAGCAATCGTTGTTAGTTACTCTGGCCGTGCAAAGTATTCGTAACATTCGCCTCAGAAACCACATCTCCATTGCTTCCAAATTCTTCCTAATTAGTTCACTGACATTCCAAGATTCGCTGCCATACAACAGAACAGGTTCTATGTAACATTTTAGAGCTCTCTTTCTGACATTAAATGAGAAAGATTTATTGCATAAGATATTTTTCATTTTCTGAAATGCAGCTTTCGCTTGACTTATTCTGCTTTTAATCTCTGTCACACATTTATATCTGATGATATGACTGTTCCCAGATATTTGAATTTATTGACTTGGTTAAGTCTTTTTCCTTCAATTGAGATATCACAACGTGGGGTTTTCTTCTTCTTTGATTACTTCTTTTTTTTTTTTTTTTTAAATATTCAATGAAAGTCCTTTCTTAGCACCCTCCATCCCCACAATATCCAGCAGTAGTAAATCAGTTGCATTTTCAGCTATCAAAACTGTATTGTGTTTTGTGATTAAACGTTTGTATCTGCCACTTCTTTGCCTGCCGTGTCTTAGAGCCCGTATCAACACGTCTTAACGTCTATGTCTACGAAGTCACCGTCTTTCGTGTCTGGCTCTGTTACCGTTGTATCTGTATAAAATTGCTCTCCGTGGTGCCCTGTCTGATGTCAATCTTGTTACATGGCCAAACCATTTGAATATCAGCAGATGTAAATACAAGTAAATATATCCCTTTAAGGAAGCAGGTATTCTGGCAATCAGTAGATGCAATGATTTATAAATACACCCTGTGTAAGGTGCAAATATTCTCGCAATTAGTAGACATAGACCTGTAAATACGTTAAGTGTAACGGGGCAGGTATTCCGTGCAGACATATATAAATACAGCCCGTGTAAGGATGCGGGTATTTTCCCCTGTTACCAGACTTAACCAGTAGATGAAATCACCTATAAACACATCGACATTGCATGTAAGAGAGTAGGTATTCTAGAAATCACCAGATGTAATGACATGTAAATACATCCCGTGTAAAGTGGCAGGTATTCCAGCAATCACCTATAAGTACATTACAAGTAAGATTGCAGGTATTTCATACTAGACGTAACCAGTAGATGAAATCACCTATAAACACATTGACATTGCATGTAAGAGAGTAGGTATTCTAGCAATCACCAGATGTAATGACATGTAAATACATCCCATGTAAAGTCGCAGGTAATCCAGCAATCACCTGTAAGTACATTACAAGTAAGATTGCAGGTATTTCATATATCACCTCAAAATAAATACATCTCCTGTAAGGAAGCAGGCATGCCATGTAATCACCCTTAAATAATCCCGTGTCCCTGGAGCAGGTATTCCAGCAATCACCAGATGTCGCCTGAGGTCAAGGAAGAGGGAGGAGGTAGCAGCCAAGATGGCGGGCGACGACAAGCCGTTTAACGCTGAGTTGAAGAGACAGGAACAGTTGAGGCGCTGGAAAGACTCCGACACTGACATTGAACCAACGTATCCAAAAAGAAAAAAGACGGCAGTTCAGTTTCAAGATGGATGTGTGTTTTTGGCCGCTTGTTCCAGTGGCGATACAGACGAAGTGGAGAAACTTTTACAGAACGACAAACGAACGGATATCAACACGGCAAATGTCGACGGTCTGACAGCTTTACACCAGGTACTTATTTTGTTGTTGTTGGTTATTTGTCTTATTTGCTGTCAGCCCTGTTGTTTCTTTTAAAGATTCCAACTCTGACTTGTATCTAGGACATGTGGTTGGGTAAAATTGAGGCTGAAATGTTTAAATGTGTCTGTTTTACTAGTTTTAGTTATGGCTTTCAATCACAGCGAAGTGTTAGATTTTAGTTCGTTTCACCCTGATATAAATATCAAATCAGAATCATTTGATCATGCTCTGTGTTGAGAATAAATATACGGAGGTAGGATTATTTTATTAAATTGTTATTGAAGTACTTGTTTTTACTGTGCATGTTTTCTATAAATGGACAACAGCTACTGACAGGATGCGAATAGAGATAGTAGAGATGGGAGCATGTTGTCCCAGTCAGAATCTTGATTGTCAACCTCTGTAAACATCTGAAGTAGGGAGTGGTTTCATGTTTGTCTGTTGTTGTTACCAGTCCATATTGTAGTACCTACAGTATTATAGGATGTCTGCTACACTAGCAACATATCGTAGGTTGTCTGCTACATCAGTCACATAATTAGGGTGTTTGTTTGAAATATTCATAACATTTTGTACGGTGTCTGCTACATCATTAATATAATGTAGCATGTTTGCTTCATCAGTGAAATATTGTAGGCTATCTGCTACATCAGTAACATAAGGTGTCTACTACATCATTAGTATAATGTAGGATGTCTGCTTCGTCGGTGAAATATTGTAGGCTGTCTGCTACACCAGTAACATAATGTAAGGTGTCTGCTACACCAGTAACATAATGTAAGGTGTCTGCTACACCAGTAACATATTGTAGGCTGTCTGCTACACCAGTAACATAATGTAGGCTGTCTGCTACATCAGTAACATAATGTAAGGTGTCTGCTACATCAGTAACATAATGTAAGGTGTCTGCTACACCAGTAACATAATGTAGGCTGTCTGCTACACCAGTAACATAATGTAAGGTGTCTGCTACACCAGTAACATAATGTAAGGTGTCTGCTACACCAGTAACATACTGTAAGGTGTCTGCTACACCAGTAACATAATGTAAGGTGTCTGCTACACCAGTAACATACTGTAAGGTGTCTGCTACACCAGTAACATACTGTAAGGTGTCTGCTACACCAGTAACATAATGTAAGGTGTCTGCTACACCAGTAACATAATGTAAGGTGTCTGCTACACCAGTAACATATTGTAGGCTGTCTGCTACACCAGTAACATAATGTAGGCTGTCTGCTACATCAGTAACATAATGTAAGGTGTCTGCTACATCAGTAACATAATGTAAGGTGTCTGCTACACCAGTAACATAATGTAGGCTGTCTGCTACACCAGTAACAAATTATAGGCTGTCTGCTACATCCTTAATATATTGCAGGTTGTCTACTACATGAGTCAGCTCTGTGGCTAAGTCGATGCGAACGCTTTGTTATACCGGGATGCCGGGTTCGATCCCAGCTGCGGGTCATGTGCCTTACGTTGGTTTTGACAGTCGTATCAAGAAAGCCGACCGTCCAGAAAGCAATGGCAAACTACTGGACGTAAATTTGTCTAGAAAAACCACACAATAGCCAGGGGCTGTTGGGGTTGGTTCTGCAACGTCCTGTGAGGGATACGCAACTAACCTACTTCATGAGTAACATAATATAGGATGTCTTGGCTTTCCTCCAAATAACGGTCCCAAATTATCGAGGCCGAAAATATTCCCTAACAGGGCCTCAGTCACATGTAAATTGCAAACCTCTTTCAGGCGACTGTACCGCCACCGCCTAGAGTATCTCCTGCGCCGCGTGAAGCAGAGCGGAGTGGGGCTTAGCTAGATGACTGGGATTCACGAGCAACTAAAATAAAGGAAGCTACAGGAGATGTCGTAGCTGCTGCTTGTGAGTCCCAGCCATCTAGTTTAAAGCCACACCGCACGTAGTGGCGCAGGAGATATTCTCGGCGGTGACTTTAACTCGCCGGAAGTTTTTCCGCAGTATGCTCTGTAGTCGCGTGAAAGAGGTCCGCAATTTACATGGGATTGAGGCCCTGTTGGGGTTTATTTTCGGCCTCGATAAATTGGGACCGTTATTTGGAGGAAAGCCTATGTTACACTAGTAACATAATGTAGGGTGTCTGCCACATCAGTTAAATATTATAGGGTGTCTGCTATAAATCAGTAATATATAGCAGGATGCATGCTATAAATCAGTAAGATATTGTAGGGTGGCTACTAAAAATCAGTAACAAATTGTCCCCCATGTGGGCAGTAAGGCCCCATTCTAGGGAAAACAAGAACAGACCTTCTGCCTACCCATAAGATTTCACTAATTGGGAGATTTCTTTGAAGTCAGAGTGCATCTTCCTGAGAGGCAAGGGACCAACAGTTTACATACAAATGAGTCAGACCTGTCAAATCGTTTTGCATGCAACACTGAGATACTTGAACAGGACTAGAGTTCAGAAGTGGCTGAAAAAACCAGAACTTTTTGCCGTAGTTTACAGCTGTTGAACATGAAGAAGAAGTAACACAGTGTAGGATATTTGCTATCAATACAATATTGTAGGGTGTCTGCTCTAAACCAGTAACATGTTGCAAGATGGTTGTTTGTAAGTAACATACCTACTTAAATTAGCAACTGTATCTACTATAAATCTGTAATACATTGTAGGATGTCATGTGTGTCAGTAAATTGAAGATTTCTTCTTAAGGTTAAAGAGCAAAGTCAAGAGGATCAACTTAATTGCACCAGGTTGTATCCCATATGGATCGTTCCCTCTCCACAGAGAGCACTGCACAGAGCATGAACTCTATAGCTCCGGCAACAATCCCCAGGGATCTCTCTAAAAATTGCACTTGTGAACTGAAGGGCTCGGCTGTGGAATAAACCCACTACCTTCAGAGCTCAGGACAAACAACTTGACAACTTTGCCATGGAGACACCCCCCCCCCCCCCCCCTCTCACATTTCCCCAAAGATTTCTCCTATAAATTAGTCTTGTAGATCTTACAAATGTCATGACTGTGACTGGGATCTATTTCAGGCATGTATTGATGATAACCTGGAGATGGTTGAGTTTCTGGTGGAACATGGTGCTGATATAGATGTCTGTGACAATGAGGGGTGGACCCCCTTGCATGCCACTGCCTCCTGTGCATTTTTGGATATAGCCAGGTGAGTGTCCATGGTGATTGTGGTAGTGTCTGGCTGCTGTTGTAGGTCAGTGTGTTGTGTCTGCAGTCATCCTGATGCTGTCAGGCTGTGTATTTATTCAGAGAGGAGACTGAGAGAAGAGAGGGAAAAGGAGTGGGAAAAGGAGGTACAGGTAAGAGAAAGAAGAGAGTTTGTTTTAGTATCCAGAAGCCATGAGTTGTTAACCCTTAGGCTCGGTATTATGGATATCGCAACCTTTCAGCCATGATTCCATTGTAAATACCGTAAATCTGGGAGAAATGTGGCTTTTCTGCCTACCCCCAAGATTGAACCGGGACCACAAGGAGTTCGTCACCTGGTCTCCGCGCAATCCGGTTTAGTCAGCTACGCTAGAGAACCGGGCAGAAAGAAGAGAGAGAGAGAGAGAGAGAGAGAAGGGAGGTAATAGAAAAGAGATGATAAAGGCAAAGCGAGAAGAGGAGAGAAAGACAAAACAGAGCAATTGGGGGAGGGGGAGGGGGTATACACATCTTGTACAGTTTATACAGAGGTAGCAATCAGAAAGCTGATTTAAATATACTCGCATCTGCAGTAAATAGCAAGGGGACATACAATATATAATGTTTGGCATTCATATGGATGATAGACCATCATCATCAGCCTCATAACCACCACCTTCATCCCCACCCCCACCCTCACCATCACCACCCTCATCATCATCACGCTCACCCTCGTCATCATTGCATTCTCTGGGGACAAAGAATTAAATAAATTGAGAAAGCTTTGTGCAGTGGCATGCTCAACCAGCTAGACCTGCTGTAGCCAGAGAACTTACTGTTCATCTCTCCCCAGGTATCTCATCAAACATAATGCCAATGTGGCAGCTGTCAACAACGATGGAGACCTGCCCATTGACATCGCAGACAACAAGGATATGGAGCGACTGCTGCAGGAGGAGATGAACAGACAAGGTCAGCAGACTTTGTGGCTGTTAGTTGCCTCTGTTGTCATGAGCTACTGACATACACATATGAATTCTTGCTCACTGTCTGTTAGAATAAAATCTTCTTTCTCTAATTTTGCAGATTTCAATTTGCTCCACATGTATTAACCACTTTAGAAGCATTCTATATATGTTGTCATCATCATGTAGCAGGTCCTTTACAGAAATCGTTCGCATCGCAGCCTGCCTGAAATAAACTCAGCCTCAGCATCTCCTGCACTTTTCTACAGAAGATATCTTTTCTATCCAGTGCCCATCTTCATGCTAGTCAGACCTGGCCTCTCATTTCTGGTACCATGCCCTCTGCTGCTATTCTTTGCAATGCATATTTCAGTTTCTGAGATAATGTGCTGTTTATTAGTCAGTATTCATGATAATCGGATCTTTTAGAATGTATTTCTTTTCTTCTTGGTCTAGCTTTGCTGGGTGTTTCTCAACTTCTATATATTTATAGCTTAACCACTATACATTCAGTTGGAACACATTAGGTAATGTGACATATTACGATTGTCATGATCAGGAATGAATAGTACAGTTAGGAGTGACCCGGCGATCTGACCAGTACTCTAAACTCAGAGGAAGGCAGGACAAACATATAATCAAACTGCTACTGGTATCCAAATTGGAATTCGAAGCTGGCTGCTGAAGATCAGGCACTTATAAGAATCTCTCAGTTGCTGGGATGTTGGGCCTCAACTCAACAGATATTAGCCACATCTTAAGGCATGTTATGTTATCAATATTGACGTCACTGCACATAGGGCATTTCCATGCGCCTTCAGTCTTCTGATGCAGCAACCACTCCAAGGTAATTCTACTAATTGTCCCCATGAGAAGTTGGCTGTAATGTCCCCTATCTCGTCCTCATGTTAGTGTCAGAGATTCGTCATTATTCACAAGCCCTGTCTGTACAGCATTCACCATATCTGCTCAGTCCACGCTTCTTCCCACATGCGTTGGTGCTTGCCAGCTGGTCTCATTACCTTTTACGCCCGCATGACCAGGTGTGTAGTCTTATGTATAGGTCAGTAACGTAATATGATTGCAGAAATGTTATATTGATGATGATGTTACAGGGATTGATGCTGAAGCAGCACGTAATGAGGAAGAGCAGCGTATGCTGGAGGATGCCAACCAGTGGCTGGCTGACAAGACAGTCAAGGAGATTCAGCATCCAAAGACTGGAGCTACCGCCCTTCACGTGGCTGCTGCCAAGGGCTACATTTCAGTCATCAAGTGAGAGCTGTCTTTGTCACTTTCAGCGGGCTTAATTTTTTTATTTAGTTTTTTTGATTTCTTGTTATTTCAGTTTCTCTCCAGGTTTTGCTGAAATTTGATAAGGTAGGCTGAAAGGCACAGATATCACAGCCTAGCTGTAAATTACAACCCAACTACCCTTTTAAAGGCAAATTTAGAGGAAGAAAGGAAATAAAAGACTGGTCTATTAAATAATGAACATTACTGATTTAAAAGTATTAAAGTGAACACCTGTTAATTCTTAAACCAGACAAAGAAGATTGAGTCATGATGAGGAACAAGTCTGACTTCAGAGCGAAGATGGAAGACATGTTAATGGATTTTTTTTGGATGGTCTGTTTTTGAAAGAAAGTGACTTATCAAAAAGAACTGATTACCTGCAGAGCATGCTTTGGGAAATAAAAACTGGAGGCCTGTGTTGCTTGATATCATCATCATCATCAGGTGCCTTGTCGACTGGCGTGGGCGATCATGCCTCTCCATAATCTGCGATCTCCTGGAGCATGTATCAGTTCATGTGCCGACACACCTCCATGCCATGCAACAAGACTGTCAAGCATCTTCTCTTGTTGTCTTCCTCTATCTCTCCTTCCATAGATCTTTCCAGTGGTGACAACATGTTCTATTTTCCCTCTTCTCATAACATGGCCGAAAAATGATGACTGTCTCCTTCTGATGTCCGTGATAAGTTGTCTTCAGGCTCCCGCCTCTTTCAAAACCTCTTGGTTGCTCTTTTTGGCTGTCCAAGGTATTCTAAGCATTCTTCTGTAAAACCACATCTCTGAGGCTTCTAGAAATTGTTTGGCCTGCCTACCGATTGTCCAGGATGTTGCTTGATAAGTCTCATATAAAAAGCACCTGGTAAATTTTGCTTGCTCCTGATATTCCAGTGTACATGGTATGTGACCTGGCTTACACCCTGTGGGTGATGAGCTACTTTATGATAAAGCAGATGTGGTGAAGTCTCCCTAAGATCAAGTAAGTAAACAGTGCAGCAGAACAGACAGAGCATCCATCCCTGGATGTATTGTTTAAAAAAAAAAGTAAAGAGCCTTGTCCATTCCATCCCGTGTATTGGGCATATAGGGCTAGACCTATATTTTATAGACCAGTTGGCATACACGGGTGATGTGGTCATAAACACCATGCTAGCCACCATTACTTTCCAGGATTTTACCTGGTACCCATTTAAGGCTTGGCTGACTCTAGGATATATTGTAGAGTATTATATTTATATCCCTATCTGGAAGTATTGTAGAGACCATGTGTTGCTCATGCAACTTGACCCCTCTCACAGCCTTTGTTGTTTACTGCAAAGGGAATTTAACACCAGTATGTTAGGAACAAAACATGCTACAATTGAGAAAAGCAGTACTCTATTGCCTGCCACAGCTACTCTTCTAGACCAGCTACTGTTCCAAGACTAAAAGCCTTGTCTGCTCTGTTATAAAAGGTTTTGAGGTTACTTTCCTCCTCCTATTATAAGGCCAACATTCTTCTGAGTTGGCACAATGTGGGATATAAAGTTTTGAATACTTTGTCCCAGGGTGTGCAGCTGTTGTTGGCAACGAGAAGTCTTGTCAACCAGCATAGGATTGATACTATTATCCCCAGGTACCTCATGAGTGGGAAAACTAAGCACCCATTAATATGTACGGCATGCCAAGAAGAGAACCAAGCTAATAACTCATAGCTTACATTTGTCCTTCGAAGTGATAAATTAAGTATTACAGTTTTTAAACATTTATTTTGTGCTGAGGAATATTATACATTTTTATCGGGCTCTGTGTATGTGATGTATTATGTGTCACTGACATTAATTGTCTCTATATGTTTCAGCTTATTACTGAAGGCTGGAGTGGACATCAACGCTGAAGACCATGATGGGTGGACTGCTCTACATGCGGCAGTTCACTGGGACCAGAAGGAAGCTGTTGAAATTTTGGTGAATCACCTCTGCGACATGCATCACAAAAACAAAGCTGTGAGTAAACATATATTGATATATTGCTTGGCCTTGCATGGCCAGCCTGCCATGGGTAACACAACCTTTCTCTTATCTCAAAGAAAGTTACTCATTTCTTTTAAACAGTCATAGGTTTGGAAGTGTAATAATGTTAGTGCTGTAATTTTGAACACATCAACACATGCATTTGCAGTTTTTTCAGAAAAGTTGCTGTTTTTGTTATTTAGTTTTGCAGTTTTTTTTTTTTTTTTCATAAAGTAAATCTTTTCTTTTGTGTCGTTAAGTATTGCTGTTTTATCATAAAGTTTGACTGTTTTATCAAAAAGTATTGCTATTTTATCATAAAGTATTGCTATTTTATCATAAAGTTTGACTGTTTTATCAAAAAGTTATGCTATTTTATCAAAAAGTATTTGCTATTTTATCATAAAGTTCAACTGTTTTATAAAAAAGTTTTGCTATTTTATCATAAATTTGGATTATTTTATTAAAAAGTATTGCTGTTTTATCATAAAGTATTGCTGTTTTATCATAAAGTATTGCTATTTTATCATAAAGTATTGCTGTTTTGTCATAATGTGCATACATTTTGTGGGAACTTAAGTTTATAAAATACTATGCTGTGGCTATTTCAGGGCCATACAGTCTTTGATTTGGCTGAGGATGACATGCTACAGCTGCTCAAGGAGCTCCGGGATAAGCAGACATCAGTGAGTGTCTTCTGTTAGTGTATGCACTGTTACTGCTTACTGTATCTTCTTCTTCTTCTTATTCACCAGCTGTAAACTCTGGCAGAAATTTCTGACTGCTTGTCCAGTTCTGGACTTAAGTCTTGTTGCAGAACTTCCGTGTTTCCCACAGATCCATTTTACAGATCCAGCTTATTTGTATGCAGACTATTAGTTCCTTGCCTCTTCAACTTTAACAGCATGCTTGTTAGGAGGCAGTGAATCTGTTTGTGTTTTCTCCCAAATGGGGCTCCAAAACCCACACAGGAAGCTCACTGTAGCAAAGAGTCAGCTGTTGAAGCTTGAATGCATACAGAATGAAGCCATCTGGGTAATTCTAGGATGTACAAGAGACATCCCACTAGTCTGCATGTGATGTATACTTGCACTGCAAACTATTGCAGACAGTTTCAAAGTACTACAAGCTAGATCATACCTTAGAGTAGCTGCAGGTAAATACCACCTTATTCATGAATCTCTGGATACAGATAATGGCCACAGACTGATAAGTGGAGAGTCTTGGATGGCACAAGCACACGGCACAATTGTATGCTCGAAGAAACATTGGGAAAGGAGGACTGGGTCAGTGTCAGAGGAAAAATCAGATTTGGGTAGGATTCTAATTACATAGGGCCGGGAATGCAAGGATTGGCCAGCAGACACTGCAGAATCAGAAATTCAACAATTGATTCATGACAATTCCAGCCCCAGTGATGCGATTATCTGTACAAATAGCTCTGTGTTGAGAGGCAGACAAAGTTCATGAGGGTTCATTACAAAAGTGAATGGACGACACTTAGGGCAACAAAGCTAGCATGTGATACTACACAACATCTAATTTAGGGATGATTGGTGGAGGCAGTCACAGCAGCTTTCCAATGAGAATCAGCTGCATACACACCGACTCATAGAGCATGCTGAGAAAGATGGAGACAGCTGTGCTCCATGCATAATGGCAAGCATCGCCTCAGTTAGAGTCCCCTGTATATTTTCTCTGGGGCATACAAGTGTGTTATGAAATGAACAGGTAGCCATATCGGCTGGTTCTGTAACACTGGGTACAAGCTAGATATGGTCAGAGCCCATTGGGGTGAAGCGAACAGTACAGAGGCACAAGTAGATCATGATGGTCAATGGAGAATGGTGCAGCCGGAAGTGACCAGGGGATCTAGTCGACTCTTAACAATCAAAGATATGGCAAGAAGGACAAACAATCAAACTGTTGCTGGTATCATTGATATTTGAACTCTTTGCTGGCTCCTGAAAATGAGGGCAGAGTGCTTATGGGAATGTTACCAAGTCTGTACAAAGTCTGTAATGTCAATTTTTTTAACTCAACCCAGCTCTGTTAACAATATGTCTATAAGCTTTAACATGTTTTCTTCTTCTTTAGCATTCCCTGTACAGTTCATGTGACATCTTGAATCGTGGATTTCAATGATCATTTAATAATTGTTTTCATTTGCAGATAAGAAATGAACAAGAGAAAGGCTCAGATATAATTCTTTCTTCCATAAATGCTGAAAATCGAAGGTAGGCCTTATGTGTGTGTTGTGGGGCGGTGGGTTATTACAGTGTTTGCGATTTCATTTTCCTGTCATTTTAGTTTTATTTCAGCATTTGCTGTTCATTTGATGTGTCAATGTCCTCTTTTCATTGTCCTCTTGTCAGTATTCTCTTGTCAGTGTCCTCTGCATCAGTATGATCTTGTCATTGTCTTTTTGTCAGTGTCCATTTTGAGCCTGTGATGTTTGATGTGTCATTGTCCTCTTGTCAGTATTCTCTTGTCAGTGTCCTCTGCATCAGTATGATCTTGTCATTGTCTTTTTGTCAGTGTCCATTTTGAGCCTGTGATGTTTGATGTGTCATTGTCCTCTTGTCAGTATTCTCTTGTCAGTATTCTCTTGTCAGTGTCCTCTGCATCAGTATGATCTTGTCATTGTCTTTTTGTCAGTGTCCATTTTGAGCCTGTGATGTTTGATGTGTCATTGTCCTCTTGTCAGTATTCTCTTGTCAGTGTCCTCTGCATCAGTATGATCTTGTCATTGTCTTTTTGTCAGTGTCCATTTTGAGCCTGTGATGTTTGATGTGTCATTGTCCTCTTGTCAGTATTCTCTTGTCAGTGTCCTCTGCATCAGTATGATCTTGTCATTGTCTTTTTGTCAGTGTCCATTTTGAGCCTGTGATGTTTGATGTGTCATTGTCCTCTTGTCAGTATTCTCTTGTCAGTGTCCTCTGCATCAGTATGATCTTGTCATTGTTTTTTTGTCAGTGTCCATTTTGAGCCTGTGATGTTTGATGTCACTGAAGTGTGTATTATACTGCTTGTTTATTGCCTCAGGAGCTCTGTGACGCGCATGAGTGGCAACCAGAAGCACAATATTATACAGAAAACTTCCGAGGATGAGCGAACGTCTCTCCGACCTGGACGGACAGATGAAAGAAACCTCGATAAAGCAGACAAGATTGTTGACAAGATTGAGACAGGTTTGTGTTTGTTTCTTTTCAAGGCATTTTATTGTTTTCTTTTATACCAATCAGTTTTTTTTATTCATCGTCTTTTATGTGATTACTTCCTTGATTTCCTCCATAATTCTCGAGCAATATCAGTGGAACAAATAAATTCCCTACCAGTTTGCTTGACCTGTCTTAGGTTTATGGTGTAGGCTGTTAGATGCCAGCAAGCCTTATATACCAACTGACACCATTATTAAGACATCCAAACATAAGTATGAGCACCAAGAAACAGATTATAAATATCATATTCATACCAACACTGTGCTACTATTGCCAGACCTGGACATTATCAAAGGTTAATGAGAAGTGGAAATTGATGATGATGATTTGCTTGATTGATACAGATTGACAAGTTTTTGTGGTAAAAGGGACTATTTTTTGGGGGGTCCCTCCTGAGTTTCACACAGCTTTGAGTGTGGTGTTGACTCATTGGGCCAGTATCCCCTTCTTAACAGTTTGTCCAAGGAACAGTCTTGCAGGACATTTTAGTGTTAATCAGAGTAAGACTGTTGTCACAGCTAGTGATATTTAGGGTAAGTGTCACATTAAGTAGTATTAGGGTAAGACCATCACGGCTAGTTATATGTAGGAGAAGAGTATGTCACAGTTGGTGATATTAAGGTTATGAGTCTCACAGCTAGTGATATTTAGCATAGGAATGTGTCAGTTGGTGATATTTGTGGTAAGAGTATTTTGCATTTCGTGATATTAAGGGTAACAGTTTGTCACAAGTTGTGACATTTAAGCTTGTGTCTGGGCTTTTTGGTGGGGCAACAGATGATTTGAGATGTATTGTATGTGGGTTATTTATTATTTGTGTGGGGAAACTGATGAGACTTGCTATGAATGTTTGTGTGTGTGTGGGACAGCTGATAACTGGAGACTTTTTGTTTGTGTGTGAGTGGGTTATATATCAGTAGCTGATAAGTTGTTTCTTTTTGTCTGTGTCTAAAATGTTTGTGTGTGAGTGTGAGTGAGTTATATATCAGTAGCTGATAAGTTGTTTCTTTTTGTCTGTCTTTAAAATAACACTGCCTTGTTTGCTTCCATAGAACATCACAACAATGACAAGAACAAACAGCATCATCAGGTAAGGAATGGGCTTGTCTTTCTGCTTACGTTTCTTTTTCTGTCATCTGTATACATTCTTACCACACCAACACATTCTAACCGCACTCTGACATTCTCACTACAGTCCGACACATTCTAACTACACTCCTGCATTCTCATTATACTCAGACATTCTCACCACACTCCCACATTCCCACCACACTCAGGCGCATCTTACTACACTCCTGTGTTCTCACTGCACTCACACATTCTCAACCGACTCACACATTTTACTACACTCCCCACATTCTCACTACACTCACACATTCTCACTATACTCACAACAGACTCTCAAATTCTCAACAGGCTCACAAATTCTCAACAGACTCGCACATTCTCAACAGACTCAACCATTCTCAACAGACTCACACATTTTACTACACTCCCACATTCTCACCACACTCACACATTCTCACTACACTCACACATTCTCACTACACTCACACATTCTCACTACACTCACATTCCCACCACACTCACACATTCTCACTATACTCACACATTCTCACTATACTCACACATTCTCACTACACTCACATTCCCAGCACACTCACACATTCTCACTATACTCACTTATGCCCAATGAAACTAACCTTTAACTTCACTTTTTTAATGGCTAAACCACCATGATAAACCACCGTCATGCTACTACACCAAAGTCACTAAGTTCTAAATCCAGTTTTGAAAAAATCCTGTCCGAAAATTGATATCTCTGAAAAATTGTGTAGCTTTGGGACAAATAATACTTCATTTTCAGGAATTAACAGTGAATGTCTTTTTCATGTTTATATTGTACAGTGACAGTTGAAAACCCTAAAAATATACTTAGGTAAAAATCTGAACAATTGCCTGTAGTTGACTTTGGTGTAGTACCGATGAATTGGCTTTGTAGTTGTGTAGAATGTCCCAGTTTGTGGACACTTATACATTTTTGCTGTGCTATTGATGTATTGACTTTTCAGACATGACATGTGTAGCCATCTGTTTATCTACTGTAGGCTTGTAGTTGTCGCGTGTAGATAGAGGATGGGCTTACCTGATAATGCAAGGGTCATGTGTTCTGTTAGAGTTTCCTTTCTTTAGTTTCTTTGAAAGTTTTTCCTTTCTTGCAGCTCTGGCCTAGAGGTTAATAATTGTGTTTAATGATTGAGTACTAGGTCTCCGTTTACCGGCGGATGGTTAATTAAAAAAAAATAATTGTTGTAGCTTTTTTCAAAAAACGCTACAAGAGTCGCACTGTGGAGATGAGAGAGGCCTCCCCACATAAGGCAGCAGTCGGCACTCTGTAACCAGTTTTAAAAATTTTTGTATGGAGATTGCAAACCATTTGTTAATATCTTTTCATTAGAATGTTTACACAAGCTACTGTTGAAATATCAGACTGTTATCCTTGCATAGAAAACATGACCCTTGTATTTGTCTTCTTGTTGTTTGCTCTTTATGTGTGTGCGTGCATGTGTCACGCACATGCATGCACCTATATGTCAGTCAGTCAGATATTCTGTTATATTATACACAATAGACTTCAGGTTTGTCCATGGTCTAGATCACACCAATTATCTCATATCTGGATATGAATTCACTAAACAAAAATCCCAGTGTGGGTTCTGGTGTCCCATTTTGAGAAAAAATAGAGACCCACTGCCCCACCCGCACCCATCCACACACACAGAGGCATGCACATTCCCATCACCATCCCCCCTCCTCCCCTCCTCCAACAAGCACGTCATAGGAGGCGACTAATTAGAAGTGTTTCCTTTAAAGTTGAAGTGTATCTGCCTAAGAGGCGAGGAACCAACAGCATGATGTGTAAAACAGGTTTGCATGCAACATTCAAGTTCTGGAACAAGACCAAAATCCAGAAGTAGATGAACAACCAAACATTTTCACCAGAGTTTATAACTGGTGAAGGTGAAGAAGAAGAGGAATAAGAAGAAGACAATATTCATTTACATAAAAAAAAAAAACACACAAAGGAGAAGACAGGCCTCAAATGGAGGAAGCTGAACTCCTGAGTCAGAGTTTGTGTCTAGTGAATTCATTACTTGATACCAGTTCGACTGCAATCACACCTTTTGTCAACACATTCTCTTATTTTAGTAAGGGAACCAGGTTATTCATGTCAGATTTGACATGTTGAAACACTGGTATGTATCGGCTACCCATACACAGATTTGTTCGCAGTGTTCTCAAGTTTGTAATTGGCCAGTAACATTGGTAGACAAATCTGGTGTAGCATTGCTGCAGTGTAATTTTACCTTTATGTTTTGCTTTCTACAATTGTTGAATTGTTGCCAGAATACTTGTACACACTCATTTTGTGTCATTAGTTGTTGTATGGTTGCCAGAATACTTGTACACACTCATTTTGTGTCATTAGTTGTTGTATGGTTGCCAGAATACTTGTACACACTCATTTTGTGTCATTAGTTGTTGTATGGTTGCCAGAATACTTGTACACACTCATTTTGTGTCATTAGTTGTTGTATGGTTGCCAGAATACTTGTACACACTCATTTCGTGTCTACATTTATTGTATATTTGCTAGAATATTTAATACACACCCATGTTGTGTCATTCGTTGTTGTATGGTTGCCAGAATACTTGCATATTGAATGTTGAATTGAGAATCGACATCATAGCACTCGGGACACCCCCATAAGCGCTCCGTCCCCATCTTCAGCAGCAAAGAAGAGTTCCAATTCCACTGGCTCCAGTAACTGTCTGATTGTATATCACTCTCGCCCTTCCCTCAAGTTTTGAACGTTGGCCAGATCCCCTGGTAACTCTTCACAGTGCCATTCTCCTCAGACCATAATGATCTGTTTGCACTTCTGCACTGTTCACTCGCTCCCAGAGAATGCTTGCATATGGTCATCTACTTTGCACACACCTTTCTTCTGCTCTTCAAAGGTCACAGCTCAAACACAAGACAAGTGCTGCCCACATTGTTTGCCTGGCCAAGTGGGGATGAGTTGTTTGTGTGAGATGTTTGGGACTGTTGTGTTACTAACATATTGTGTTTGACAGCGTGGTTGTGTTGAAAGCTGATTCTCTTTTTGCATAGTGTGAGCAGATTGTTGTGCTGAAAGCTTATTCTCAAATGTATAATATGCTCTTGCCTGTTTTCTGTGTGGCATGCAACAGCTGCCAGTGACTTCAGCTATCAGCACAAGTTGGTCCCGGCCCTCCAGTGTGGCAACTTCCCCCAGTGTTGTGCAGTTGCGACATATAACAAATGGGATGGCCTCCACTACAAGTGTGGAACAGCAGCGATCACCCAGCATAGTTTACTCATCACATATTGGTACACCACAGTCATCACTTCATGTGGCTACTTCCCCATCAGGTGTTGCGCTTCAGCAGCTACCTCTTGTGGCTACTTCCACACCTAGTACTCCCACACAGCTGCCAGCTAATGTGGCTGTCTCCACTCCCACTCATGAACTACAACAGTTGCCTCATATAAACATCCCTGCTATAGAACTGCGGCACTCATCCAGCGTGGCTGCTTGCACACCTGGCTTGAGATTGCGGCGGCCGGCCAGTGTTGCCACCTCCACTCCCCTTTTAGAGCTAGACAAGCAGAGCGTATCCACAACTAAGACAGACCACCTGTCATCCAGACCTGTGATGTCATTAGTATCTGAACCCAGACTATCTCCACTGTCACGGTCAGTCTCTGTTAGACAGGTGGACACCAATGACACGTCATTGCAAGTAAGTTCCTTTCTGTTTCCTTATTTTTGCATGAGAGTGATGTTGCTCTTTCTCCTTTTCTCTTCGCCTGGTTTTCCTTTGTTTCCTCATTTTAGTTTCTTATTGGATTTACATGTCACTGCTAATATAATGCTTGACTCTTTGGTCCCAGATAGTTATCAATTAAACACTGTCTGTCGTAAAGGTTTTGTGCTCTAGAGCAAAATTTTTAGTGCTATGTCATTGACATGTTCAGCTTTGATACAGAAAGTGTTATATTAATAACAAATTTAGAATAAGTTAACCTAAACTGAGTTTGGGGTGAAAAGAGCAAAGATGTGATTTTCCTTGTACTGAAATTACTGCTATTTATAAACTTGTATTAACATAATACTTAATTCAGCTCTTAAATGTGTACATCACAAAGCAAATTGTCCTAGATAAACTACCACTTATATACTTGTACAGAGTGTTAACATTTATATGTTTGTACATAACACTTATATATCTGCACATAATGTAACACTTGATGTAAATTGTGGCGTAGATGTCGATCTTGCATACAAGTCGACCTCAAGAATCTTAGCTAAAAATATACAATTAGATGTATAACTACCTAACACATTTGATGCCTGCCTTATAAGTTGATCCCTGGTTTTGTAGCAACATTTCAAGGCTTGAAAACTAGACTCATGTGCCACAATTTACGTTATGTGTCAGCGCATAACATAGCTTATTTTTGTAGATAAACGTAAACTGTCACACTGGAGTGTGATACTATCATACCGTGTGAGTGTGTATCATACTCTAATGGGGTATTGTAACTTGTTATTGGGTATCACACTACGGTGTGATATTATATGTTATTCTTGGTGCTTCCCCAAACAGGGGAAATCCACAGGTCACGGGACAGTCTGATATTTAAGGTAGTGGTAGATAGGCTGCATGCAGTTGTGGGACCTAGGCTGCATGCAGTCGTGGGACCTAGGCTGCACTCCCTCGTGGGACGTTGGTGGGTTGGGGTTAGGGCCAGTTCTAGATGTTTTGGGGTCATTAAAAGCATCAGAAAGCCTGGAAACCCAGTCTTACCTCCCTCTAAAATGTTGAACTGTCCTGTGACGTCATCTGGGGTAAGATATAAATAAAGAACCTTATTCTTGTTTCAGTATCAGCAAGAAAGGCTACGGCCTAGAGAGCAGATGCGCAGATCCCCTCACCTCTCATATTCTATAGTGTGGAGTTTGGCTTTGATATTAATCCTGATACTTCTATATCCCAAGCTTGCTGCTATTACAGGCTTCCTGCTGTCTTGCTGCTGCTCCACATTATCCCCACAGGTCAGGTGACTTCTTAAGGTCACCCCCAGCATGCAGCTGTTTGCTTTTACTCTGCATTTCTGATACATCTGCTGATTCTATGACTGCTGAGGTCTGGCTGCTGCTTTTTCTGCTTCTTCTTGCTTTGCTGTTCTGCTGATGAATTCTCATTGCCACAAAATCTTTGTCTGTTGCAATTGATCCTGTTAAGCTTACATATTATATGTTTTTCCAATCTTATGTACACTTTTATTCTTGTGATCATATCCCTTTTTACATTTACTCCTATATTTGGCTGTACTAATATTTATGTATGCGTGGGTGTGTGTGCATGTGCGCATGCATGTATGTGCACTCACGGTTTTGCGCAAACCAGAATGTCACACGTCCTGACCTGGTTCATTCTGAGACCACTTCGTCGTTCACCACTCTTGCTGTCTGTCCTTGACACTGCGTTATTCCATGTATCAATAGTGGCCCTCATTTGAATGCACATTGAATGTAACACATCTGAAAACTGCTCGCCAGTTTTTGAATTTATTGACTGTTGCACTTATGGACATTTGCCACCATTGTTATACTTATTGAATTTTGTAGTCCCTGCGTAGATTCTGTGGCCACTGACCCCCCAACATGCATATTGTAAAAGGCAACTTATAAGGGTGTTTCCTTTGGTGCATCTGCCTGAGAGGCGAGGAACCAACAGTCAGCTTATAAATAAGCTATATCTGTAAAACAGATCTGCAGTGCAAAACTCAAGTTATGGTACAATGCTAAAGTCCAGAAGTGGATGAACATCCAGATCTTTCTGCTGGAGTTTATAGCTGTTGAACACTAATAATTATAATAAGAAGAATGTTGTAGGTTCTAGGGCTCCATTATAGGTGAAACAAAAAATATACCACTTATTGAATGTTGCACATATCAGAATTGTTCATTGTTATACATATTATGTTGCACATATCAGAATTGTTAATTGTTATACATATTGAATGTTTGCACATATCAGAATTGTTCATTGTTATACACATTGAATGCTGCACATATCAGAATACGGTCACCATTGTTGCATATATTGAATGTTGCACATATGGGCACCGCTTACTGTATATGTCACTGCTCCCTGGCCCTCATTCGTTCAAGGAAGCCCCCAGCTCAGAGCTCTACTAGCCACTCAGCTTTCCTAAAGAAGCTGCCTTCCCTCACAACAGGTGAGTAGCTTTGGGGTGCTGATCAAACAGGCGGGGCATGAGCATGCCAGCAGGGCACATTTGTAGGCAGGACTTCAAGGCATATCTGTAGGCACACATCTGTAGACAGGACTATCGGGCATATCTGTATGCAAGACAGTGGGGCATATCTGTACACAGGGCTGATATCTGTAGGCAGGACTTTAGACAGGTGTAGGGGTATATCATCATCATCAGGTGGCTTGCCAACTGGCATGGGCGATCATGCCTCCACAATCTGCTATCTCCTGCAGCATGTAACAGTTTGTGTGCTGCTCCATGCCATGCAGCAAGACTGTCAATTATCTTCTCTCATTGTCTTCTTTTATCCCTCATTCTATAGATCTTTTGAGTGGTCACAACATGTTCCATTTTCCCTCTTCCTATAACATGACCGAAAAATTACGACTTTCTCCTTCTGATGTCTGTGATAATTTGTCTTTGGGCTCCCGCCTCTTTCAAAACCTTTTGGTTGCTCTTTTTGGCTGTCCAAGGTATTTTAGGCATCTTCTATAAAACCACATCTCTGAGGCCTCAAGAAATTGTTTTGCCTGCCTCCAGATTGTCCAGGACTCACAGCCATATGTTAAAACTGGTTGTATATAGCAAGCAGAAATTATTATTATAACCTTCAATGACAGAGATATATTGCATAAGATGTTCTTCATTTTATAAAATGCAGTTTATGCATGTCCTATTCTGTTTCTAATCTCAGTAATGCATCTTCCATCTGATGTTATCCATCTACCCAGAGACTTGAATTTCTGTACTTGTCCCAAAAAAAAAACACCATTGACTTTTATTACACATTTAGGAATTATTCATTCTTTGTTCTTCCTCTTTCCACCACCACAGTGTTTATCACTTCCTGTAGGTCTTTCTGACTTGTTACTATCAAGACTGTGTCATCAGCATAACGTAAATTGTTTATATTATGCCCATATAATTTTTCTAATAGTTTGATTACTTCTTCATGTTTGATACAGTCAGATGCTTTTGTATAGTCTATGTAGCATAAGTACAAATCAGACGTTACTTCTATAGCTCTTTCTGACATTGTCCTTAGGATGGGCATATATGTAGGCATAATCAGGGATGTATGTGTAGGCAGAACGATGGGTATATCTATTAGCAGGGCTGGATATATTAAGTAGGTAGAATTAATATCATATCTGTAGGCAAAACTATGAATATCTGTAGTCATGACTATGGGTAAGTCTGTAGGTGAAACTATGTGACATATCTGTAGGCAGATCTATGGGCATATCTTTAGGCAGGACTTACAAGCACATCCATAGCATACGCATATCTATAGGCAGTAGGCGGAACTATGGGCATATCATGTGGACACGTACATGACAGATTTACAGCACTCTGTGGTCAGCAAGCAAGGAGAAATACTGTGTGAGGGTAGGTAGGGGAACCAGCCATGGCTTCCACATTGTGTGGTATAATCATGTGGTTCAGTAGCAGGTAGACACTGGTTCTGTAGTTAAATTGTGTTAAACAGATCAGGCACTTCCCTCTCTACTTCACCTGCAGAAAACCATCCTGTAACATTTGCCAGTTCATAAGCACAAGACTTATATCAGCAAATGGGTTCCTCTAAGCACATGGACTCCATCAACACATGGGCCATCAACACAAGGCTCCTACGAGCACATTGGTTCCATAAGCATATAGATCAAGGCTCATTTGTACCATGGGCCACCAGTTAAATAGCCCAGATATAGGCAGTGGGCAGCACATTGGTTCCAGGCAGCACTTGGGTCCCTCCAAGCAAATGGGTTTCTGTAGGTGTTTGATTCTAGTGTAATATTCACTAGGACATTAACCGCATTCAGTCATGGAAAGTGGGGGGGGGGGGGGGGGGGGGGGGGGGGGGGGGGGGGGGGGGGGGTACTATTAGATAAAACACCTTGGCCTTGTCTGCTAGAATACAGGTGTATTCAGTACCTGTCAGTAACTGCACCTATTTAAGACATTCATAAAATGATATTGTTGTCCTTGCAGGAACGGCCAGACCACAGTCGTGCATCAGAAGGTGGTACTTCAGTATCAGCTACACCAGCCACAACAACATCTGCTACACGAACAAGCACAGATTCAGAGCCCAGGTTTGTCACTTGACCTCGTAGAGCACTGTCTGCATTATGTGTTTTTGTGTGTCTTCTTGTTGGTATTCAGAAAAATAGACTTCTCAGAGTGCTGTCTGTATTCTTTATGTATGTTTGTTGTCTTCTTGCCAAAATACCAAATAGTTGACTTCATACAGTGACGTCTCTATTCTCTGAAATGTATTATTAATGTCTGTTTTCTTGTTGGCATACAAAAACACTTGACTTCACTTAGTGCTGTATTTAATATATATATATATATATATATATATATATATATATATATATATATATATATATATATATATATATATATATATTTAATGTCTATCTTCTGGTTGGCATAGCAGATTGATGACTTCTCAAAGCTGTCTATATTCTATGATATATATCTTTAATGCGTGTCATTTCATTGGCATATCCATATTGTTAACTTCAGAGTGTGTTTCCTGTATTCTCTGATATGTATCTCTTATGGGTTTATTCTTTTTGATTTATGTTCCTGTTGAATGTTGCTAATTATGAATGATTGTTTCTTTTACATGTCGTCATTACCATTTTCCAGTGATGGGTTGTCAGTGAATTTAGAAGACGTTACGACATATTATTAACTAACCACTGGTAGTTGACAAAAAGAAGACATGATAACATCAGTAGCTAATGATAGTTGATTGATAGAGGACATGATGGCATGAGTAGCCAGTGATAGTTGATTACTAGAGGACATGATAGTATAGTGTAACAAACCAATGATAGTTGACTAAAAAGCGGACATGATAACATGTGTTGTAAATGCTGCTTACATGGACAGTGAACTGCAGATCTGTTGCCAGACTTGAGTTGGCCCTTCTGACGGCTGCCTTATGTGTTTAATGCTTGTGTAGTCTCATTGCTTTGCCAGATTGCAGCGATGGTCATTCTGTGTAGCTTTTATTGGGGCGACCCCTTTGCTGTGACATTGGAAATGCGATTACCTGATGATAACATGACTAAGCAGTGATAGTTGATTAATAGAAGACATGATAACATGATGAACTAGTCATAGTTGACTAATAGAAGACATGATAACATGATGAACCAGTCATAGTTGACTAATAGAAGACACAATAACATGACGAACCAGTCATAGTTGACTAATAGAAGACATGATAACATGACGAACCAGTCATAGTTGACTAATAGAAGACACAATAACATGACGAACCAGTCATAGTTGACTAATAGAAGACACAATAACATGATGAACCAGTCATAGTTGACTAATAGAAGACACAATAACATGACGAACCAGTCATAGTTGTTTAATAGAAGACATGATAACATGAATTTTAGTTGAATTAAAAAAAAAATATGTTGCGTCGCAAAAATGAAGGTTAGCTACAAAGTACTACTGTTTTCACTGGGAATATTACATGGTACAGCCCAAATCTCTTACCATGATGCAACTCACACACCGCTGTCCAAAAATCATGAGAACGTTTATTTTTAAACTGTCCATAGCATGAAACAAACTCTAGTACTCGAGGATCATGAAATTCTTAACTGCATTTGTTAACATCTTAGCCATGGAGCCACAAGGAAAGTTGAATAAGGGGAGATAAATGTTATGACTTGCAAGTGACAGTTGAATAACGGAAGACAAAACATTATGACTTGCCAATGGTAGCTGACCAGTAAGGAGATATATGTTGACCTGCAGTATTGCAAGCTGTTGTGAGACTAAAGCTTGTTCTTGTTGTCACCCCTGATCCACAAACTTCACAACCTGACTGTGGACAAACAGAAGCAGCTACAACTTTGGCCCGAGCTATGGTGGATTCCGCAGCTCATTCTCAAACAGATCCAACACCTACGTGCCTTACTACCTCCAGAGGCAGCAACGAGAATCTCAGGCGGTGTCCGACAGTTCCACCACCTCAAATGACAAATCTCCAGCTTCCGAACCAGGGCGTACGACCACCACCACTACCACAACATCTACTCCCACCACCACTAGTGCCTTGACCACCACAACACCTTCCAGCTCAGTATTTAAAAGGTGTGTACTATAAATCTGTTCATTGTTCATCATCATCATGTGCCATGCTGATTAGCATAGGCTAATGTTTCGCCATCTCACACGATTACCAGAATTATGGATCAGGTCAATTTTATTGTCTTGCTTCATCCATATGGCTAAGCCATCCTAGTATTTATATCTTTGCCTTCCCCTTGCTCTTTTCCCATCAGTCTTCCCAGTTATAACCAATTTCTTCAGTCCATACATACATTCTCATAACATATCTTAAAAAAAAAAACTGTCTACATCTACGTCTAATTTCTGTAATCAGTTTTTGGTTGTAGTCAGCATCCAGTTAGACTGCTTTGTTTGTTTTGCTGCCATTGCACATTTTTTCCCCCCCCCCCCCCCAGCATTCTTCTCAAAAACCAAATCTCCACTGGGAAGATGAAGGTCCATTGTTCCTTCTTCCTTGAACACAGTTTAATGTGTTGATTTGTAGATTTTCATACTTGGAGATGAAAGATGTATAATGTTTTAAGTGTTTATGTGGTCAGAAATGCTGTAGAAGGAGATTAGGAGATGTATCTTACACTGTTGAATGAGATTGAGAGATGTATAATGTTAAAATGTTTGTGTGGTCAGTCGGTGTGCTGTAGAGGGAAATTAGGAGATGCATATTACAGGTAATCTGGTAATCCTAGTTTCAGCTTCATGGCAAACGGGTCACCCCACAGATGCTCCGCTCCTGTGCCAACGAAAAACAAATGCAGCTCACAGTGTCACGCCATGCACTCAACTCAAAAGCTAGGCGACGAAACTACATCCTTCCAGTCTACAAATGGAGCAAAAATGCAACGGCCACCGTCTGGCAAAAAAAAAAAACCTCCTTTGCCACGGTTAAAAAAAAAAGGTGGCCGTGCTTAGCGTCCATTTTGACCGGAAGAATTATATGAGGGTTAATAAACGGTCACCCCAGCAGTACCCTCATTATTAGCTGGGGAAGGGACTTAGGACATTGCATCTACCAGCAGGGGTCGCCCCTACAATGACCTGCCTGCCATCGTTAACGACTGTTCACCCAACAGCCATGCAGTTCTTTGGCACGAAGGAGACACCTTGAACTTGGGTTTCGTACTGCCGACTCCCTACTAAGATGTTATTTTGTGTTTTGTTATCACAATTAATGTCACTGCACATTGGGCATACCCATGCGTGCTCAGTTCTCCGAAGCAGCAGCCACTCCAAAGTACTTCTACTAATTGTCCCCATGAGAAGCTGGTTATATTGTCTCCTTTCTCGGCCTCGAAGACGGCAAAGACGTGCATCACCATGCTTAACTCCCATGTCACGCAATTGTGTTAGTGTCAGGGATTCCTCATTCTCCACTAGCCCAGTTCGTACAGCGTTGACTATATTTGCTCTGTCCATACTTTTTCCTGCAATCATTAGTGCAATGCTTGCCAGTTGGTCTGTTCGCTCATTTCCCTTCACGCCCGCATGACCCGGTGTGTAGATCCAGGTTACGTAGGTTAAGTGCGATTTCCGAATGCTTTCTATCCATTCAGAGCGCATACTGCCTGTTGCTATCTTCTGAAGCATATTCATTGATTCTGAGACAATTACTGCCTGTGTGGCGGTTTGCTCAGATACCCATGCTAAAGCTCTAGAAGCAGCGGCTATTTCCGTTGTCATGCTTGAGGTGGTTGTCTGGTAGGCGCCGCTGTCCTCATGTATTGTTTTCCCCTTTCTTTGCGCTGTGTATGCCCATTCTGACCTTGATCCATCTGTGTAGATGATGGTATCTTCTGGGTCTGAATGCTGATCTATCAGTTCCCTTACTTCTGTGTCTACGGCCGCAGGAATTTGATCCCTGCAGTACCTTCCGAGTGTGATGACAACCCTAGAGATGCCATGCATGTCTACTGGTGTATTCGTCCATTCTTTTCCGTGGCTGATCACGTCTAGGTCACATACCTGCTGGATTAAATCCTCAGCCTTTGCCATCCAAGAGCGGCCTCTTTTGAGAATACACTTTGGAGGGTGACTGGGAGGCCTACGTTACACTGTAGAGGAAGATGGGAGATGTATGTTTACACTAAAGAGGGAGATTTAGAGATGTATGTTACAATGTAGAGGGAAATGAGTTGAGTCAAGAATTGACATCACAGCACTCAGGGTATTCCGAAACATACTCCATTCCCATCTTCAGGAGCCAGTATAGAGTTTCAATACTAACGGACCTATCGCAATCTGGCTGTATATGCGTCTCACTTTTCCTGTGAGTGTAGTGTGCAGGCCATACCCTTTGGTCACACCCAGGTGCATCATTCTCTGTAGGCCATAATAATCCAGTTTCTCTTCTGACTTCGTTACTTATTTTCAAAGAGCCTTGACCATATCTGCCTTGTCATGTATGAGTTCACCACCCATTGGTGCCGATCCAGCCAGTCTGTCTGCCTTTTAATTCCCCACCTTGCCAGCATGACTGGAGAAGAGATCCAAAGAATGCTCACTACCCGTAACCTTCCGAGGAAAGATCGTCACTCTGCTCGAAGCAACCCTGTCTTCACCGTTCTCAGCATGCTTTCAGAGTCTGTTACAATTACGACATGTGTAGGCATCTTGTTCTATAGCCACAAGAGAGCTGCACCGACCGCCTCCACCTCCATTCTCATGCTAAATGTTTTGTTATCGTATGCTAGGCTGTCCTGCACTAAAGATTTTCCATTGGCTTATGCTACCAACCCCTGGGCACTTCTCTTCCTTCTCAACACAGAACAAACTGTATAGATAATCTGATCATCTGGACGAGAATTGCCGTAGTTCAACTGTTGGATTTCCACCTCCGTAGCCCCCACAGGCCACTCTCGGCACTCCCGGCCTAATGTGATCATGACCCTACACAGGTCAGACGTTTTCTCTGGTACTCTGACCCACTCCTCTCCTTGCCCAATGTTCTCCAGCATGGATACTTGTCTTATTGTGTCTTCTGCTTGAGCCAACCATGATTTCCCCCTTTTCAGCCTCCAACCCTTAACTGCATTCAAAGGTTCATACAGAGGGTGCTCTTTGTCTGCAGCTACTCTGAGGTCTGACTTAGCCTGTCTGTATTGGTCAGGAATGCAAGGATGTATCGCAGGCACTTAACCAGAGTGTCTCTTATACGTCCCAGGATCACTTGCATAGCTTCATTCTGTATTCGCTCTAGTTTCACTAGCTGACTCCTCGTGACAGTGAGCAACCCTAGTCCATAATCAGTCGCTGAGATGATTAAGTGCTGGTTTAGTGTGAACAGCATTCTCTGCTTGATTTCTATTGCTGCCATAAGCTTTTGTGCATTAAGACCTTTCTGAGCCCTTGTCACAACTCCCTCTATGTTATCCTTGAAAGACAAACTTCTGTCAAAGTGGATTCTAAGGTACTGCAGTCTGCTGTCTCTTTTGATGTTCCTGCCATTTATTTTGAAGCTTGGAACAACAGCTCTAACAATCTTGTTGTCCATAGAACACCATAGTGATGGTTGCCTTCTCTGGTTGAATTACAGCACTTATCTCTGTACACCAGCCGATCACCTTATCTGCTGTCGCCTGTAACTCTTGAGCTATTTGATTGTGATCTCTCCCCTGCCTATATACAAGAACATCATCTGCCAGTGTCAATATTCTGCTAACTCCACATGTTTCGATGTCCGCAGTTTTGCTCAGAAAAACAGTGAAAAGCATAAGTGAAATTGCAGAGCCCTGTGGTAGTCCTGAAGCTATAATTCATGGTTCGGTCCATGAACCAAGGCAGAGAGCTACCTGATGAGAATACAAAGCAGTGCTATGTATAGGGAGATTAGATGATCATGTTACACTTAGAGGGAGTTGTGTGTTACACTGCAGAGGGAGATTGGGAGATGCATGTTACACTAGAGGGAGATTTAGAAATGTATGTTTACACTCTAGAGGGGGATTTGGAGATGTATGTTTACACTGTAGAGGGAGAGTTTGAGATTATTTTACACTGTAAAGGGAGATTTGGAGATGTATGTTACACTGTAGAAGGAGATTAGGAGATGTATCTTACACTTAGAGGGAGATGTATGTTACACTGTTGAGGAAGATTGGGAGATGTATGTTTACACTGTAGCTGGAGATTGGGAGAATATTTTACACTGTGGTAGGAGATTGGGAGATGTAAGTAAAAAAAAACAATGTTAAAAAGTAAAGGACCCTTTTCCACGCCTTTAGGAGTAAAGGGTATATAGGGCTAGACCTATATTTTCTATAACAGTCGGCACAAGATGGGTGATGTAGTCAGCATCATGCCAGCCGCCTCTACTTTCCGGTACTGCACCCAGTACCCACTCAGGGCTGGGTCGACCTGGGAGCCAAGGTCATTGTTTAAAAAAGTTTGGCTCCACCAGGGAGCGAACCCACGACCTTCTGATCCGCGGCGAGCGTCTAGCCGCTCTGTCACAGCGACTCCCATAAGGAGATGTATGTTACACTATTTTGGGAGTTTATGAGATATATGTTAAAAGAGCATGCGTGGATAGGATCATGTGTGGATGAGCTAATGTATGGTTGGGATCATGTGTGGATGAGCTAATGTATGGTTGGGATCATGTGTGGATGAGCTAATGTATGGTTGGGATCATGTGTGGATGAGCTAATGTATGGTTGGGATCATGTGTGGATGAGGTAATGTATGGTTGGGATCATGTGTGGATTAGCTAATGTGTGGTTGGGATCATGTGTGGGTGAGGTAATGTATGGTTGGGATCATGTGTGGATGAGCTAATGTATGGTTGGGATCATGTGTGGATGAGGTAATGTATGGTTGGGATCATGTGTGGGTGAGGTAATGTATGGTTGGGATCATGTGTGGATGAGGTAATGTATGGTTGGGATCATGTGTGGATGAGGTAATGTATGGTTGGGATCATGTGTGGGTGAGGTAATGTATGGTTGGGATCATGTGTGGATGAGCTAATGTATGGTTGGGATCATGTGTGGGTGAGGTAATGTATGGTTGGGATCATGTGTGGGTGAGGTAATGTATGGTTGGGATCATGTGTGGGTGAGGTAATGTATGGTTGGGATCATGTGTGGGTGAGGTAATGTATGGTTGGGATCATGTGTGGGTATGTCAGTGGCTGAGATTCCAAGTATAAACATAATTTAATGGGAACCCAGAGTGTCAGTCTGTCTACTTGCAAGATGACAACTGGATGTCTGTGGCAGACACATTGACACTTTCCCTGTCTGATTTTATTAACATTGATTATCACCATATTAAAAAAAATATTGTTGACAATGTCAGCACAGTCTGAAATTCCTCCTGTCGTGTTCACACAGGTCGTACGAGCCACCAAAAAGAGATGAGGAAACAGAAACGCAGCGAAAGGCACGGGCCAAACATGCTCGACAAACGAGACGATCCACACAGGTGTGTTATCTGTTCTGTTTAATGTCCCTATCCTGTTTCATGTTATGTACTTGCAGATTCCTATATGTATTGGCTTTGGTGGTGGCTTGCGATGCTTGATAATGTGTTTCCTTTAAAGTGGGAGTGTATCTGCCTGAGAGACAAGGAACCCACTGTCTGTGTACAAATAAGCCAGATCAATATAAAACAGATGTGCATGCAAAACTCAAGTTCTGGATCAAGAGTAAAGTCTGGAAGTGGACGAACAACCATAACTTTTTTGTGAGAGTTTACAGCTGATGAAGATGATACTTGTGCATATTTGTGTGTTTGATGATGATCTGCTCATCTGGAAGGTTATTAAGTTCCAGTAATATAGGAGATAGTATTGATGTTCTTTTTTAGGGTTCCAACTGCCTCTCCCCCCCCCACCCCCCAACAAGCATGTTGTAAAAGCCGACTAATTAAGGGGTATTTCTCCATCATCCGAAGTGAGAAACCAACAGTCTATGTACAATTAAGCAAGATCTGTAAAACGGATGTGCATGCAGAACTTAAGATCTGGAACAAGTTTAGAGCCAGAGAATATGAAGAAGAAGAAGAAGATTTTGTGTTTATAATGATTTATGTTCATTGTTTTGTGATAAATATTAATGTAAATTCATAGTAATGAACCTGACGAGTTACAGGGAAATATGCAGAGGAGCAAATTGTGCAATGTATTGTTTGTGCTCTCATTATTTAAATTCACTCTGACAATGATTGATTATTTCGGTGATGGAGTATGATTTGGACCTACTAACGTTATCTGACAATTAATAGAGAAGGTGGAACGCATGCAAAATGAAGCCAGGCGAAAGTTTTACATGTGAAAATGTAGCTTAAAATCACACTGGTCGGGAACACCTTCTGCCTGAGGCCTTAGGGCAAGGGATTTCGACTCAAAAGAGGTGGCTTTTAGATGGTACAAGCAGAAGTTGCTATAAGAAATGTTTGCACTACTGACACAAATAGTGCATGGTGAGGCAGGAATCAGAGTGTCGCCCAGCAAAACAGCCTTGCATAGAGGGATAGTTACTTTGGACTGAGGATGCCAGGAAGGGATAGCTGGTGTAACAGAGTCAGTGGTGTAAGAGGTAATGAATGAAAATTCTCACCCAGGTGACATTATTATATATACATGTAATAGTAAGGGACTCACAGAGAATGCTTTGGAAATTTGAAACTGGCATCCAGCATGGAGAATGTCTTGCATTACTTGATAAAATTCAGACCAGGAGCATATGAGGGATTTTCTGTCCAGGACATTCATGTTTGCGAGGTAATGAGCAGGCTCATAGATTAACTGCTTCTATACCTCTAGGTGCTGAGCTGCTTTATCATAAAGTGGACATGGTGAAGGCTCTTTAGGATCAAATGGACAGTGCAGTAGAACAGAGAATATGTACATTGGAAGTCTAATTGGGGGGGGGGGGGGGGGGGGGGGGGGGGGGAGGGGGAGGAGTCTGGAAGATATCCAGTTGTGAGGGGGTAACAGGCTGACTTTTAATCAGTTTGTAACTAGTATTGTTAGCATGTTAACTGTTTGAAGTCCCAGATCCTGCTGATCTCCAGAGGGTGCAGCCAATGACGATTTGAAAGCTCAACATACGGATGTGGGATTAAGCAGTTATGTGCAGCTCGTAACAATTCCTTGAGTGAGCCCAGGTCCGGAGCGTCATGTGTTGTCTCCGCTTTTATGGAAGCCTCCTTGGATAGTGTGGAATTCCCATGGTCTGGCCCATGCCTTCCCTTGAGGACTGATACACATGGAAGCCCTGGACAGGGTCCCTGGGGAGGTGGAGGGGGGAGGAACATCTGTAGATAAGGTGACAAAGAGAACACCACACAAATGAGGCTACAGTATGTCCTTGTCCAGTGAAAGTGTCAGGGTAGTTAACCCGGTCAAAACTTTAGAGGAAATTGGATATGTGCTGCCGAAATATCACAGCTCTGCTGTAAACAGGCACAACATGTTTACATCACTCGAACAGATTAAAAGAAGACGAAAAAGCACTCTTCATTGGCTACTTGAGAAGGGGACGAATGAACGAACGAACTTTATTTTCAAAGGGTCACAAATTGGGCACGCAGGCCCGTCTTACATTCGGCCCTTCCAGTCAACCATCTTTCGCACAGCAGTTGTATTTTACTAATAAAGCATGTTATGATCATATGATGTTATGCATATTATGAATATTATAAAAGAACACAAAAGCATGTGTTGTAAAGTGCATGTAAAACCCCGCGCGTGCATACATACACCCGCATACACACGCTCACCCACTCGCTTACACAAACATGCATGCATACATTCCATACATACATACACAGATACATATAAACAAACATGCATACACACATACACACAGGCATACGTACACACAAATATACATACATACATAGATACAAACATACAGGCATACATACATTAATACATACATACGTAGTACAGGCATACACACATACAGTCATAAATCCAGTCATGCATGGAGACACACACATGCACACACGGACACTCCCATAGAGACACAAACACTCACACAAAAATACAGACACTTACATATAAACATACACAGGGAAACACAACAGCACACATATTTACATTCGTGCTCACACACTGACACACACACCACACATATGCAGACAAACATGCAAACACATACATACAGCCACATAGACACACACGCAGTCAAACACACACACACACAAATACAGACAAACAGGCAGCACATGTGGGAATTCCCAAATGCAGTGATGGCAGTTTTTGATTGATTGATTGACCGATTCATTCATTATTTAAATTTTCAATAGGAAAAAATCTTTGTGACTACATAGAACTTTCTAGATTTCATCATCATCATTTTTGTTGTTGTTGCTTTTTATGTGTCACACTCTCCGTGTAACTCCCAGGGCTTCCTTGTGGTTGGGAGGGGGGGGGGGGGTACTCACTGCCTCTCCAACGAGCATGTCATAAGAGGACTAAATAGGAGTTTCCTTCGTAGCTGGAGTCCGTCTAGCTGTGAGGTAAGGACCCCACAATCTGAATACAGATAAGCCAAATCTGTCAAATGGATTTGCATGCAGAACCTTTCTGGAACAAACAGGACTGGAGTCCGTAAGTGAATAACAGGCAGAACATTTCTGGAACAGGACTAGAGTCTTAAGTGAATAACAGGCAGAACATTTCTGAAACAAACAGGACTGGAGTCCGTAAGTGAATAACAGGCAGAACATTTCTTGAACAAACAGGACTGGAGTCCGTAAGTGAATAACAGGCAGAACATTTCTGGAACAAACAGGACTGGAGTCCGTAAGTGAATAACAGGCAGAACATTTCTTGAACAAACAGGACTAGAGTCTGTAAGTGAATAACAGGCAGAACATTTCTGGAACAGGACTAGAGTCTGTAAGTGAATAACAGTCAGAACATTTCTGGAACAAACAGGACTGGAGTCCATAAGTGAATAACAGGCAGAACATTTCTTAAACAAACAAGACTGGAATCCGTAAGTGAATAACAGGCAGAACATTTCTGGAACAAACAGGACTGGAGTCCATAAGTGAATAACAGGCAGAACATTTCTTGCACAAACAGGACTAGAGTCCGTAAGTGAATAACAGGCAGAACATTTCTTGAACAAACAGGACTGGAGTCTGTAAGTGAATAACAGGCAGAACATTTCTGGAACAGACTAGAGTCTGTAAGTGAATAACAGGCAGAACATTTCTGGAACAAACAGGACTGGAGTCCATAAGTGAATAACAGGCAGAACATTTCTTGAACAAACAGGACTGGAGTCCATAAGTGAATAACAGGCAGAACATTTATTAAACAAACAGGACTGGATTCCATAAGTGAATAACAGGCAGAACATTTCTGGAACAAACAGGACTGGAGTCCATAAGTGAATAACAGGCAGAACATTTCTTGAACAAACAGGACTAGAGTCCGTAAATGAATAACAGGCAGAACATTTCTTGAACAAACAGGACTGGAGTCTGTAAGTGAATAACAGGCAGAACATTTCTGGAACAGACTAGAGTCTGTAAGTGAATAACAGGCAGAACATTTCTGGAACAAACAGGACTAGAGTCTGTAAGGGAATAACAGGCAGAACATTTCTTGAACAAACAGGACTAGTGTCCATAGGTGAATAACAGGCAGAACATTTCTTGAACAAACAGGACTAGAGTTGGTAAGTGAATAACAGGTAGAACATTCCTTGAACAAACAGGACTGGAGTCCGTAAGTGAATAACAGGCAGAACATTTCTTGAACAAACAGGACTGGAGTCCATAAGTGAATAACAGGCAGAACATTTCTGGAACAAACAGGACTGGATTCCATAAGTGAATAACAGCCAGAACATTTCTTGAACAAACAGGACTGGAGTCCATAAGTGAATAACAGGCAGAACATTTCTTGAACAAACAGGACTAGAGTCTGTAAGTGAATAACAGGCAGAACATTTCTTGAACAAACAGGACTAGAGTCCGTAAGTGAATAACAGGCAGAACATTTCTTAAACAAACAGGACTGGAGTCCATAAGTGAATAACAGGCAAAACATTTCTTGAACAAACAGGACTAGAGTCCGTAAGTGAATAACAGGTAGAACATTTCTTGAACAAACAGGACTGGAGTTCGTAAGTGAATAACAGGCAGAACATTTCTTGAACAAACAGGATTAGAGTTCGTAAGTGAATAACAGGCAGAAAATTTCTTGAACAAACAGGACTAGAGTCCGTAAGTAAATAACAGGTAGAACATTTCTTGAACAAACAGGACTGGAGTTTGTAAGTGAATAACAGGCAGAACATTTCTTTAACAAACAGGACTAGAGTCTGTAATTGAATAACAGCCAGAACATTTCTTGAACAAACAGGACTAGAGTCTGTAAGTGAATAACAGGTAGAACATTTCTTGAACAAACAGGACTAGAGTCTGTAAGTGAATAACAGGCAGAACATTTCTTGAAC